TCGCGCTCGCACGCACACACTCTTTCTGCAGGAGAGCATTGCAGCAATGAACTGAAATATATAAAAACAAGCGAGTGCACGCGCCGCATTCCATATAGCGCGCGTGCACGCATGCAACAGAAAACTCCAAAGTCATCCAGTTTTCTCTAATCATTACAATTAGTGGTGAATTATGGCTGGACTCTGACAGACGTTCCTTGTAACTCTCTTTTATTTCCACCCCGCGCTAATCAGCGCCTCTCATTACAAACGCTGATTAAACTGCAAATTACCCAGCAGCGGCCCCGTCCGCGCAGACCAGAGCCTCGTTCAATATCAATTAGATCCAGCAGCCCGCGTCTGCGGTCTCGCGGCGCTTCCAAATGCTTGATAGTAGCATTTATTAGTTTGGAAAACTCGGAAAACACCAATAATCAACGGGCATGAAGCTGCAGGGAAGGAGCCCCGGGTTTTCCCACCACTCACATGCAATCACTGCAGCTGTGATGGCAGGAGGCTGCAGCAGCACTGCACGTGCGTGAAGAAACACTTAAAAACCGTCTTAAACTAGCAAACGAATGATTGAAACGCAAATCGATTTAGATTTAATATAAAAAAAGTTTTTCTTTAAACCCCATTTGGAGTGTTTTGCTTTTTCTACTCAATCATTGGGATAAGAGGAAATGCTCATAAAATCATAAACATATTTAGCTGAAGTGTTCAAATTGAATACTCGGTGTTATAGTTTCAACAGTTATTTGTTCAATGGTTAAAACTATGCAGTAAAAGTATTGTCTATTTTTCACTCTGTTATATTGCAACCATTAACTAAAATCTATTTAAATTGTTTTTTCCTCATTAATGTGCACACTGCACCCATATTGACAAAAAAAAATACCACAGAATTTTAGAAATTTATACATATTTGTTAAAAAACTGATGCTCTCTTTGTGGTGCATGTCCAACTTTTAGCTCAAGCCCTAAATGATAAATAAATTGTTATTTAGTCTCATATTCCTTAAATAACGTCAAGATATTCACTAACACTGGGAATAAATCCACATGCTGAATGAAAACAAAAACACTACTAAACAGTTGGCTGTAATTCTAAATCCCTCAAAACAAAACTAAACAAAAAATAAAAAAGGAAAAAGAAAAAATATGACATAAACCAGGCAGGGGGGCTGCCAGAGATTTGGGCCCCATGAAAAAAATATCAAGTTGGGCCCGCTGGGGGCTCATCCATAGCTGGAGCTGGGGTTCCACCCTCCCAGATTCGAAAGGAGAAAAAACTATAATATATATACTTTATATTAGTGTTTCAGTTTTGCTTAATTATTTAGGTCTACATGCATTCTTACTTATTTACATATTATTTTCACAAGCTGTCTCTCATTAAACAGTGAATTTCCTTCAACAGAATTAGCAAAAAGCAGGAAATGCACATTCTGAAAGGTGTTAATCTCCTTTTCTCTTTTACTCCCTTAAAATGCGTTTATTTATTCTAAAATTTTATTTGATGATAAAATTCAAATTTGGACATCTACTTAAATTTCCATGTTGTGTCAAAGCTTTACAAAACTACAATTTCAGATTACTTTCCTCTTGAAATCAAGTATTTCTGTATGACTGACAAAAATTAAGGATTCACTGCTCACAAGGTGACTTCTTTATTAAGTCTCCATGGCTTCATCATAGACACAAAATGAATAAGCACACAGTTCAAACCAGAGTCAGTTAGGGTTACATAAAATATTAAATTTGGATAACTTTGCATGAATACGTACATAAGTCTCTAGAAACCCATTTTTCTCAACAACAACAAAAACAGCTAAAATATAATAAAATAGAGCAAGATTTATTATTTACAGTGATATAATTAATAATGCTCCTGAGTGACATACTTAGTGACAGACTAAATAACAATGCTTCAACCTGCCCAGCATCCAAAACAATCTGTACATTTTTACTGATTTATTTATATGTAAATATAATTATCATTATGTGGAAAAACAATGTGTTTATCACCCAAAATAGCCTTTTTATATTCCTTTGTAATAGTACTGATAGAGAAGAGAGCCTTAAGTGATTCACACAGACCCTCTTAAATGAGGCTGCTAGCTAACATGCTACATTGCTCACCTTCTTGAGGTTCATTGGGTTGTGAGGGGACACCTGCTGACATATCATCAGCTGCTGATTCTGGTAGGGACAAGGACGACAACCCATTTACCATAATTAGATGTAACATAGTTCCTCTCACTGTGGATATCAGAGCTAGCAAACAGGTTGAATTTAACCACTCACTAACTAAACCCACCTTTCTTTGAGAAAAACTGTGTCACATACTGACGCCCTCTCTTCTGCCTGTCCTCTTTCTCCTTTCTTTCTTTCCTTTTCTGTGACCCAGACTTTGTTTTTGCAGACATATTTACTGCAGCCTTGTTGCACTCTGCTGTCTGACCACTGCTTGAGCTTGCCTTGCCTGCTACGCCCCCTCGGCCAGGTGGACTGTACCATTTGATGCCGTTAGGAAGGGGGTGGGGGGTTAAATTAATTAGTCAAAATAAAGTAGGGACCTCTGAATAAATATACATTTCATAAAGACTAAAAGATTGTTTGTTTAATGTCTTAAATGAGAAAAAATACTGCAAAGTAAAGTACTTGTGATTTTTAAACTTTCTTTATTTTTTATTCAACTTTGAAACTTTTTTGGGCCCCTGACAGCTGTGGGCCCTTAGAATCTTCCTAATCTTTCACCGCTTTATGGTGCCCCTGAAACCAGGGGTCACTGACCTTTGTGAAGCTGAGACCTACTTCATGGGAACTGAGTCGATACAAAACTGACCTTTGAACTAGAATAGATCAGAGTGAAACCATAATTAACATAATTAATTGTTTTTAAAGAATATTATAATTTTTAAATCTCTATGAATGCTTTTGTGATTAAAGCGATGGCAGCAGAACTTTTTTTTTTTTGTTAACTTGTGCTATTTAGAGAAAAAGCCTGCGGGCACATTACATAGTTCCTGGGTCACCATAGTGACCCCTGATCTAAACAATTATAGCAACTGGAAACTGTGAAGGAGGTGAATTCAATATTTAATTGTACCTAAATAAATAATTTTTGTTTTATAAGTCAGTCTGGTTAAAATTGTGTTGCTCTTTCATTTTCTCTGTTCTCCCGTCTAGGGTGTCTCTCTTGCATTCATGACATCAGTAACACACAGAACAGGCCACCAGTACAACCCAGAGTAAATAATGAAGTAAGTTGTATTTATGTAGCACTTATCACAGACATAGAATCACAAAGTGCTTCACATAGATCAAAACAAAATAAAACATAAAGTAATTAAATCATAATGATCTCAAAACTGAAATAGATTAACATCAGAAAAAACTAAAGTCATAAAATTATTACATTTCATAAACAGATGAAAGATTACAAATTAAAGTTAAAAATAAGAAAACAAAAGATTTTTGTGAAAGCAGCTTTAAATAAAAGGGTCTTTAGCTGTTTTTTTAAAGCGTCCGACTGTCGAGGATAAAGGAAAATCATTTCAGAGTCGGGGTGCAACAGCCTGTAAGGAGTGATCACCTCAACTTGTATATGTGGTCTTTGGAACTTCTAGAAGGTTCTGGTGTGTGGACCTGAGGGTTCGGGTTGGAGCATAAGGCTTTAACAGTTCAGTAATATAAGGAGGAGCGTGACCATGTAGAGCAATGGAAGTAATAGTCAGGATTCTAAAATGAATTATAAAGTTAATGGGTAACCAGTGCAGAGACATTAGAATAGGAGTGATGTGTGCTCTTCTGATGAACAAGACATCCCTTTGCAAACTTACTCACACCTGGAGGCAATTTAGTCAGCAATGAACCTTTAGTGAAATCTAGGACTGGACCAGTGAAATCACTGACAAGGATTAGAGATGCACGAATCAGCACCTTGGATAGCGACACCACCCATGTAGGTCCCTGGGTGTGCAGGAACACACAGAACAGGTCACTAGTTCCTCCAGAACATCAAAGTCCATTTGGATGATGAAGGCAGAATAATTTCATCATTTTGAGCGTCCTGCTGTAGTTCAGTATTGGTCATTTTGTTGCTGACTTTTATCTGGGCTACTGAGTCATTGTGAGCTAAAGTTTTGTGAGTTGTATTGTTGCTCAAAGAACAGTTTCAATTTTAAAAAGAAAAGTTGTTCTAGGACCCCTTTAAGGTTTCAGTCTCTTCTAATGTGTTTCATACAGTCCAAAAAGGTAATGTGTAGTTTTTGTCACCCTCCCTGGTGAACTTGATGTTGTCCACTGAGACCATAATTCTTGTTAAAGCTTCCATTTTTTAGGCTTGGACTTTGAAACTTGTGTCTACAACTAGTTTAGAGCCCAGACCCCCCCCCCCCCCCCACACACACACACACACACACACACGCCCCACCACCACCACCACAAAAATGTTATTTGCCTTTTTTCTCTTTTACATGTAAAGAAGAATGAAAATCTATAACAACAAATGTAACTGAACTTCACAGAATGACGTCCATGCTTCACGGCTGGGATCCCGCAATGGACCTAAAAAGCTTTTTAGGATTATTGTTTTGAACAATAAAAAAATTTAAACAATCGACCAACAGAAGGTTAATATTTGTGAACTGTAGTTTTGTGATGGCATATTGTGGAAAAATAGTCTAGTTGCTTTGAGTTTTCTTCAAATTTCCTCCATGTTTTTACATGTGTATGCAATGTCTTTTGGTATTTGTTCTGTTTTTTCAAACATATTTACTTTTTAGCAACTGTTTAATCAAAAAATATTTAGACTGAAGCCGTTTGTGCTCCAAAACTACCTTTGCACAACACGGATCTGCTAACAGCTGTACTGACAATAGTGGCACAACCTTATTTTTAAACATGTTAAATATTTACCAATAAAAAGAAAACATGTTTTATAACGTTTTAAACAACCAGGTGGCTCAGATCACATCTCAGCGATCCTGCCAGGCAGAAAGACTCAATAAACTCCACAGATCGATTTATCTGTGAGCAGCTTGTCATCCCTGAAGTACACCTTCTCAGCCGCAGTTAGCTGAACTCGTTACAGTGAGAACCTTCCATTTACAGCTGAAAACACAATTCTGCGGCCATGGCAGACCCAAGACTAAGGCAAATCAAAATTAAAACAGGCGTCGTTAAAAGGTGAGGACTCGTTTTACTTTTTAAAATTCAAATGTATTTGAACAATCTGCTTACAACGGGAAACGTTATTCTAATGCTAACAAGCTAACTAGCTTAGCCGATAGAGCCGGTGCCTTGAAAGAGAACTTAGCCGGACGAAGCAGCGTGTTAGTCCCTTGTCTGCCTACCATTCACCGGTGTTGGAGCGCGGCCCTAGCTAAACGGTTAACGTAACCAGCCTTTGTTTTTTGTTTCCATTGACTGTTGTTGGTTTTACTGTGTCAAGCGAATGCATATAATCTCAACGACGCCCGACACTATTAGCATAAAATATCGGTTCGCTACTTGACCGTTGTTGGGTGAGTTAGCACATTGCTATTATGCATGCCTTCATGCAGCGATATCTGAATTTTCACTTTTAAATAAACAGATCTTCTCGAATGTGAAGACTTTAAAGTGCACACGAAAACGTGTCACGGGGCTTACAAGCAAATGCAGCACAGACGATCAGATCATGAAATGTGATCATTGCACTATCATTTATCACTCACTGTTTAATATTCGAATGTTAAGGCACTGCTGTTGGTGTTTTGTAAAGATAATAAACAGTAATATAACTAAAATACGATGGAAAACGAAGCAAGTATATCTTTTAAATACAAATATATTAAACATGGTAGGAAGCTTGTTTTAAGTCTTGTAGACTGAACTCTATTTAATATTCCCACGGGCTTTACTGTAAAAGGCTTTGAGTGCATAGTTTCCAGTAAGAGCTTGTTATTATCTGATATTTTCAGTCATCTCTCATGTTCACTTTGTCTCTGCAATGCCTGCCTGTCTTTTTCCATCCATCCATCCATTTTCAGTCGCTTATCCAGAGTTGGGTCGCGGGGGCAGTAGCTTAAGGCGAGAGGCCCAGACTTCCCTCTCCCCAGCCACTTGGGCTAGCTCCTCCGGGGGAATCCCAAGGCGTTCCTTGGCCAGGTGGAAGTTCTTTCGGAAGAGGGAATTGAAGCTCCTTCTGACAGGAGACTCTGCCAGACGTTCCCAGCAGACCCTCGCAATACGTTTGGGCCTGCCTGGTCTGACCGGCATCCTCCCCCACCATCTGAGCCAACTCACCACCAGGTAGTGGTCAGTTGACAGCTCTGCCCCTCTCTTAACCCAAGTGTCCAAGACATGCGGCCGCAGGTCAGATAAAACAACAAGAAAGTCGATCATCGAGCTGCAGCCTAAGGTATCCTGGTGCCAAGATCACATATGGACGCCTTTATGTCTGAGCATGGTGTTCATTGTGGACAATCCATGACTGGCACAGAAGTCCAGTAACAAAACACCACTCGAATTCAGATCGGGGGGCCGTTCCTCCCAACCACACCTCTCCAGGTCTCACTGTCGTTGCCCACGTGAGTGTTAAAGTCCCCCAGCAGAACGAGGGAGTCACCGGAAGGAGCGCTTTCCAGCACCCCCTCCAAGTTCTCCAAAAAGGGTGGGTAGTCTGAACTGTAGTTTGGTGCATAAGCACAGACCAGTCAGAACCCGCCCTCCCACATGTAGGCGGAGGGAGGCTACCCTCTCATTCACTGGGGTAAACCCCAACGTACAGGCACCAAGATGGGGGGCAACTAGTATGCCCACCCCTGCTCGGTGCCTCTCAGTGGGAGCAACTCCAGAGTGGTAGAAAGTCCAACCCCTCCCAGGAAACTGGTTCAAGAGCCAGAGCCATGCTTTGAGGTGAGTCTGACTATATATGGGGCAGCAGTAGCTCAACAGGTTGAGAGGGTTGTCCAGTAATCGGAAGATTGCAGGTTCGATCCCGGCTCTGGACAGAGAATTCTGCTGTTGTGTCCTTGGGCAAGACACTTAACCCACCTTGCCTGCTGGTGGTGGTCGGAGGGTCCGGTGGCGCCTGTGCTCGGCAGCCTCGCCTCTGTAAGTGCGCCCCAGGGCAGCTGTGGCCACATCATAGCTCATCCCCACCAGTGTGTGAATGTGTGTGTGAATGGATGAATGATGCACTGTAGTGTAAAGCGCTTTGGAGTCCTTACTCTGAGAGGCGCTATACAAGTGCGGGTCATTTATCATATATCTAGTCGGAACCTCTCAACCTCACACACCAACTCAGGCTCCTTCCCCACCAGAGAGGTGACATTCCATGTGCCAAGACATTCCTGTCTCCCAAGAGCCAGCTTCTCTAGCTGAGGATCAGACCGCCAAGGTCTCCGCCCTCGACTACCACCCGTCACACACTGCACCCGACCCCTTTAGCCCCTCCCATGAGTGGTGAGCCCATGGGAAGGGGGACCCACGTTTCCTCTTCGGGCTGTGCCCGGCCGGGTTCCGTGGGTGAAAGCCCAGCCACCAGGAGCTCACCAATGTGCCCCACCTCCAGGCCTGGCTCCAGAGGGGGGCCCCGGTGACCCACGTCCGGGCGAGGGAACACGGTTTCCATTTAATTCATCATAAGAGGTCTTCGGGCTGCTCTGATCCCTCCCCTTCTTTTCTCCATTTCATTGAAAATCCCACCATTATGGTGTTAGACTTACAAAAAGCCAAATTAAAAGTATTTATAACAAAGTTTGCTGTAAATATAGATAGATAGATCAGACCATACCTAACACAACATGCCACCCAGCTCCTGGTGCAATCTACTGTCATCTCCCGCCTCGATTACTGCAATGCCCTTCTAACTGGTCTTCCAGGCAGTCCAGTACAGTTCTTCAAATGGTCCAGAACGCAGTGGCGTGTCTGGTCTTCAATCAGCCAAAAAGATCACACGTCGCCCCTCTGTTCATTGAGCTCCACTGGCTACCGCTAGCAGCACGCATCAAATTCAAATTGCTAACACTAGCATACAAAGTCAGTGATGGTACGGCTCCCATCTACCTGAATCCTCTTGCAAAGGCTTACGTCTCGGCCCGGCCGCTCCGGTCATCACAGGATCGTCGGCTAGCAGTGCCTACACCACGCTCAGGACAATCCAGACTCTTCTCATGCATCATTCCACAAATGTGGAATGACCTTCCAAGCACTACCAGAACTGCGGCTTCCTTTTCAATTTTCAAGAAACTCCTGAAGACCCTGCTCTTCAGAGAGCATCTTAACTAGCACCTTGCCTGCACCCATCCCCCCCTCTACTCTCCACTCCTTGTTCCCACCTCTCCATGACTGATGTCAATGTTGTTGTTTGTTATTGTTGTTGTTAGCCTCAAGGGCAATATGCCGATTATCACTTGTAAGTCGCTTTGGACAAAAGTGTCTGCTAAATACATAAATACAAATACAAAACCAGCTACAAACTTAGAATTTACAGCCATTGATTATTTTAGCAATTGTGTACTCTAATAATCCATCTTGTAAATACGGATTGTGTTTGCAGAACTTTGCACAGAATATTATTATGATCAGAACTGCATCAGATCTTTGTGCAAAATTGTTGATCCCACATTGTTGTAATCAAGACTTTGCTGAAGCGTTTTTGCTTGTCTTATGTTTGCCAAGGCCCTAATTGTTTGACCTTTTTTGTCTTTTTCTTTGAGATTTTCCCCTATTTTCTTCTTTCCTCTGTCGCACAGATCATAGCATTAGCATGATGTCCAACAGTAATACCTGTCCCCATGAAACATGATCACAGAGCAATATGCTGGGATGTGGTTTATGAAGAGTATCAAGCCTGAAAATTAAGCTGTAGGGATTTATTTTTGTCATTGAAATATTCAAATAGACCCTAAATAAATATGTATATTATACCACCTAAATCTCCCATGTTAGCCTAAGTGCTCCTCTTCACTGTTTGACTAGCTATCCTGATGCCATCAGTCCTGTCCCAATAAAACAGGTATTATTTTTGTTTTTAGCAAGTGTCTATTTAAGGGCTCCACAAACTGTTGATGCCTTTAAACAGGCATCAACCTTTTTAGAAAAGCCTTTAGCTAAATGTATTTTATAACCGCTATTTTTAATATCTCCTTTTTTTTAGTTGTGTGTTCTGTAGCACTTTGAGATTCCTGAAATATGAAGTGCATTAAAAGTTATTATAAATATTATTATTGTTATTATTATTATTATTATGAGATTCCTGAAATATAAAGTGCATTAAAAGTTATTATAAATATTATTATTATTATTATTATTATTATGGCTGCAACTAACGACTGTTTTAATAGTCGACTAGTCACAGACTATTGAAATGATTAGTCGACTAATCGGATAATTATTAAATTTTTCTTAAATTTAGCATGAGAATGCTTTAATTTTGTGAAAAATGATAATAAACACAAAAAGAGGGATACTTCAATGGAAAATGCATATTTTATTGAACTTTGCTGCTGATAGGCCAATTCATACTAAAAGTTAATAAAAACGCTGTCTAACACCAATTAGGCACAGTGCTCAGTCAGTATAGACATAAATGCATAAATAAAATGAAAAATCTTTTGTCAGGCACAGTCAGGCATAACATTAAATCACTTTTTTAAAAGCGAAATTATGTTTAAAAAATGTACAACGTACATCCAAAATAAAATGTATTGGCTTTCGTGTTATTTAAATCTTACCAAGGTGAGTCAGACTTGTTTCATTCAACTGTCCAACGTGCTTTCTCGTTAAGTGTTCATGCATCAGCGACGTGCTGCCGTGATACGCGACGACTGCTTTGCTAATAATGCAGGTCAACTTTTTATTCGCCGAATCCAGGCTAGAATGCTCCCAAACTGTAGATATCTTGGTACGCGTGGCTGCTGTGTTGGACGCTGCCATTTCTGTTACTTGGCGCTCATTAGAGAAGCTATTGTGCATGTGCGACTCTCGGCAGAGATTGTAATGAAATGAGATGCCTCACTCGGTCGGAAAAAACACGTCTGGCGACAACGTCAACAATGATATTCATTGTCGACTGTTTCTATTGTCGATATTCGTCGACAACGTCGACGAATCGTTGCGGCCCTAATTATTATCTATTTGCAATATTGAGTTTATTTGTTACCCGCCTCCGGATAAGCAGAAGATGGATGAATGGATGGATGGAGTTTGTTAGCTTGTATGAAGCTGTAAGAGTATTTAGCATCATGGCAGACTTTGGGTTGTGTCACGTTACCGATTGTGTTTTGGTGTGGTCAGATTACCAACAGACGTCCTTAAGGGTAATGATGAAGTTTGGTTATGTCACAGCGTGTGCGGATGGAGACAATCATATTGTCTCTTTCTACCGTACCATTGGGTCTGAGGTTGAGTAAACTCTTTCAGGGTAAGACAGGAGATATTACATTTTAGTCCCTGTAGACCAAAAGTACTGCCATAACGTGAACCTTTAATCAGGGTGTTGGGTTTAAAGGCGCTGGCTGTCATTTCTCTTGTGTGCTCTCCTTTCCCCGTTCCCTCCACCCTTCCAGGTTTACAGGAGAACTCGCCGGCTCTTTTAGCCAGGCCTATTTCCAGTGGCTTTTGCACATTCCAGTCAGTGCCTCCCTGCCCTAGCGAGGCGGATGCCCTTAATAAAATGACAACAGTAATTTGCCTTTGTCATTCTGGTCCCAGCACAGACTACACCGTGTCTCAAAAATACAGTGCTGGAGAAGGCGGCCGAATATGTGTGTATCGGCTGGCTCTAATTCCCTTTTTTTCTATTTTCCAGAGAGCTGCCTTTTCCATTAAGCCTGAGGTGGCAGGTCTATTTAAAACCAGCCACGACCCCACCCCTCATTCACACAGCACTCCTAGAAATAAGAAATTAACATCAGGACTGGAAGGGGAGGAATGGGCATTTTGTTATTAGACTGTCCTTCAGTTTTATTCAAATGATTCCAACCTCCCTTCCTCCATCTTTTTCTCCTCTGTGTGCCACCTTCCTCCGCTCCAAACAGGCGACATCACTCATTCTGCGTCTAGCTGGAGAGTGGAAGACAGGAGGTGGTATTGCATATGGTGCCTGTTTAAAAGCTTCTTGATGGAACCGTGTTACAATGAGCAGTAATTGATGTAAAATATGACAGAGTGCTGTTGGCTTCCTGGGCTATGCGAGGAGCAGTGTGAGACGGAGGGAAGGGTCTCCGGTAATATGACTGACTAATGAAGGATTACTCACTTACACACAGCTGATTTTATGAAAAATGAAATTTGTGTTGTCATTTTGTTGAGCGGCCACAGCCGGAAAAAGACAATTAGGTGGAAATCATTATCAATAGCAATATTTTCAAACTCTATTATGCCAATCAGGGTCTGAATCTGTTTAATAGATTTAGCTCCATTTGGCCAGTAATTGATAAATAATCAAAATTTATCTATGTACTCGAGCCATTTTCACTACCAATCAATGAGAAGTGGCCCATTTACCACCTGACTTGGTCCAAATTAGGGATTGAATTGATGATCAATTAATCTCTAAAAAGAAGTAAGTGTGTGTGTGTGTGTGTGTGTGTGTGTGTGTGTGTGTGTGTGTGTGTGTGAATGGATAAAAAAGAACGATGATGTGTTAACAGAATTTTGTGTACAAGTACACACTGTACACAATACCGCTGATGACGAGCAGATAATGAATTTAATCTATTTTTACTTCACTTCATGTAAGTATTTGGCATTTGTGTTGCTAGTAATAAGGTAATTGAGGATTTTATGACCAGTTCTTTGTTAAATATGCAACTGATGATAATTTAAACAAACTAAATGTTTTTATTTAAAAGTGAATAGCATTCATTACAGTACATTCCCCCAGTCCTTTTTCTGTCTTTGTGAATGGAGCTGCTACAGAAAACAGGATATCTAAATAGTCAGTTTGCTTACAAATGTGTTTTGTTTTGTTTTAGCCCAAGCTATTGGTCATTTTTCTTTTGAAACAAATGTTTTTTCTCTCAATGTCTTAAAATTTGTTAGCTCTCCAAAGTGTTTTTTCTTGATCCTATTGGCACAAATCTAATCCCATACAAAGCTTTTAACACTTTCAGCTGTTGCTTTCAAATTGGTTTCATTTTACTTTAATGGTGAAAGTTTAATCAAGAATTTAAATGTAACTTGTGCAGTTGTGTCTTGTATAATGTTTCTTTCACATCCAAGTATGAAGATGAGTCAAATGTCAGCCTTTTTCTTAAGGTTATGCTTCACTTAGCAGCAGCTTATGAGGAAGGTTGGTGTGTTTGGTGGTTGTTATTTAGGTGTGTGTCTTTGAGACCGGGAAGATTATCTCACTCTTTCTTCAACCAGTGGAATCATAGTGTGTAAAGCCTGGTTTATGCTTCTCCGTCTGCGTCAGTGCGGAGACACGCAACGCCATTATCCGTCCTTGCATAGGGCACGCAAGTACATACGGAGTCGAGCTCTCTTTTTTAAATATCCGTCGAACGAGACGGATTACGCAAGCTTGTGATTGGTCAGGACGCCGCTGTTGTTTACAGCGCCGCCATTGCAAAGAGAGCCGAGTTTAACTAGCTGCAGACACGGAGAAGCTTGAAGAATACCTCGCGAAAAAACTCTAAAAATATGAACATTTAGTTCTCCCGTGACTGGAGGAGTGAAAAGATGTGCAGCAAGCGTTTTATTTGTGGACGGAAATGACAGGAAACGTGGGTTTAGAGGTGGGGAGCACATGAAGCGGTGGGAGAATGAGAGACAAATACGTCCGTGTTAAAAGTCTCTTATATACAAAAAACACAATATAAACACACTATCTTGGACCGATACATGACAGGATACCACAGAACAGCGCTACGCCCTCTGCTGTCCTGCCGGGCAATTGCTTTGCAACACTCTCCAGGAAACGGAGAAGTGAAAGAGCAAAACGCTTCCGTCAATCCGTGCGTGTCTGTCCCTTGCGGAGCTGACGGAGAAGCATAAACCAGGCTTAATCCGTCTCGTTCGACGGATGTTTAAAAAAGAGAGCTCGACTCCGTACGTACTTGCGTGCCCTACGCAAGGACGGATAATGGCGTTGCATGTCTCCGCACTGACGCAGACGGAGAAGCATAAATCAGGCTTAAGAAGACTGATGGTCTTGTGTAGTAATAGGTGACCACCACACAGCTAGCCTGTTGTGGCTCAGTTGGATCTTTACAGAAACAACACTGTCATTGCCTTTAATCATGTTGTTTCCTTCCCTCAGGCTGGCCAAGGAGGAGTTTCTCTACATGGATGAAGCAAAGAAGCAGGAAGAGAAGGTTGAGCGCCTGAAAGCAGAGGCAGGAGATGAATATGTGATTAAGAAACAGGTATTCAGTCTTTTGTTAAAGTCCCATAGTCATCATCTACAGTGTTGGGAGTAACGCCGTTTAAATATAACGTCGTTACTAACGGTGTTCTTTTTTAGGTAACGGAATAATCTAATTACTTTTCCCACTGTTGCAACGCCGTTACCGTTACTGGGGACGGAAGGTTGTGCGTTACTATGTGCTTGTCGAACGTTGAGCAACAGTGTGAGGCTTTCTGACCGCCACACTTCAGCTGCAGCCAGGGAGAGAGAGGTGTCGGTAACGCGCTTACAAACACGATGATGATTGGCTGGGTGGGCGGAGACCCTCAGTGTTCTCACTGTCTCAGTCGCTGCCTGCTGTAGACCCAACAGAGCAGTGATGGGAATAACGCCGTTTAAAATAACCACGTTAATAAAAAATATTTCTTTCTGTAACTAGCAAACTAATTAATTACGTCTTCTTTTACCAAAATGTCGTTTCTGTTGCTGCAGCAACGAATCTACTGCCGTGACCTTCTTGGCGTGACAGCGGGACGTCCCGAAGGTCCGCTCACCTGTTCACCGCTCAGACGTCCTGATCTTCTACCTTCCTAGATCATCCAGCTGTAACCTGTTTCTGATCATGTCTTTAGTCCCGCTGCAACACTGATGCATCAGTCTCAGACGTCATGGAGCTCAGGTGTTATTAGAACTACCTGTGTGTGTGTTTACCACCCAGCTTCAGATCTTCTGTGGTTGGGTCTGACCCAAGTTAGTACATATAAGTCCTCCATCAGGCTCGTGCCTCTTCTAGTGTCATTTTAAATGATTTTATTTATTTATTTAACCATTACTAGATTACCAGCAACAGAAATGCTGCTAAAAACACACAATTATGTGAAGCTGGAAAAATTAAAATGCTGTGCAAAATTACATTTATTTCTGTAATTTAACTAGACTGAGAGACCATTTAAAGGCTCGGGAAACTTTACAGGTGTTTCTATTTGCAATTTAAAATTTTAGCTGATTGGGGTCTTGTTAAATATCACACAGTGACTTTTATTAGTCTAGATAAGTGTAACGCTCCTGTTAGTAGTTCCTCCTGTTAAGTGCTTATTTATTTAAATTATTCAGGTTTATAAAAAACATTTGGACATACATTTTATTATGTTCCAGTCACTAGTCATTTATATTTCACTATTTTAGTGATTCTTGCATGCTTTAATGAAAAAAAAGTAACTAAGTAGTTATTTTTCTTGGTAATTAGTTACTTTTATAATCTTCTAACTTAGTTAGTAACTGAGTTACTTTTTTGACAAAGTAATCAGTAACTATAACTGATTACTTTTTTAAAGTAACGTTCCCAACACTGATCTTCTCATACTGGTGAAATTCGTCTCCATCCCCGTGGGGAGCATTGAGCTGCAGCTGTGGCTGGGCTCGAGAACTATTTGGTGGTTTAACCCCCCAATCTAACCCCTTAAAGCTGAGTGTCAAGAATCTCGTAGGCGTGGCGCTGGAATTTCAGCCATGGCGCAGCGCCATGCCTGAGTCTGTGTAGGTGGAACACTGCAGGCCATTTACCAGTTTACCATTTAGCTTGAATCAGAGAAAAATATGGATTTTAATGCTGGCTATGACACAGGGGAAACTTTAAATGTTTATAATTATACATATGGTGGACCACAACCATACAGTTATGAGCCTGCTGCATGCCAAGCTGGGGTGTCGGGAGGTTCTGTGGAGCGAGGAGGTGTCTCGGTGAATGAACGATGCTAGCTAGCTAGCTTAAACTCGTGTGCTAACATCACAATATTGTACACCTTACTGTCATGTACCAGACAATTAAAACATAGTATTGGTCATTAAATATGATATTGATCCTTGACAATAATAAACTATAATTGAGCGTTTCTCAGTGGTTTCATACTTGCTAATATCCGTTCACGTAACGTAGCGCTTTATGGAGTCCTCCTGTTCAGGGCAGGCAGCTCTGACCTGGCTCCGACCCATAAACCAGCTTCCCCGGCCTGCTAGGGATTTTTAAAAGCTTAGCATCCTCTTCTGGAGCCCAGCGTGGACCTCCTTGACCTGGTTCAAAGGCTGACCTGGGCTCTAGAAGCCTGCAAGTATTTATCAAAACTTTGCCGTGAGGCTCTGGAGGATAGGAGGCATGTTGAACTCCCTTCACATCACTGGGATTGTAATCCTCCAGTCTGAAGTGCGCACCAGAAACGGCCGTGTTTTCAGCTGCACAAAACGCACCAGGAACGGGAAATGGTGCCATTCATTCTCTTATTTGGAAACCCGTGGACCCGATGTCCGGACCCGCTGGAGTTTCTACATCCTCCACACACACATTATTTTACCATTTTTTTAAGAAAAATGAATGCAATCCAAAACTAATGAGCACACACTGGCTCGATAACACGACCTCTGTACCCAAAAATTACCTACTGGCCACACTGAGCTTCAGGTAGGACTAGCTCATAGCTCCCCCTAATTACATCATGGGTTAAGATTTTAAAATAGCATTTTTAGAAGCTTTGCTGAAAAAGGCCACTGTTTACTCAAAATAAGGGGCCGTTGTGTATTTTTGTCTTCGTCATCGTCTTCCTCCGCTTATCCGGGTCCGGGTCGCGGGGGCAGCATCCCAATTAGGGAGCTCCAGGCCGTCCTCTCCCCGGCCTTGTCCACCAGCTCCTCCGGCAGGACCCCAAGGCGTTCCCGGACCATATTGGAGATGTAACCTCTCCAACGTGTCCTGGGTCGACCCGGGGGCCTTCTGCCGGCAGGGCATGCCCGAAACACCTCCCCGGGGAGGCGTCCAGGAGGCATCCTGACCAGATGCCCAAACCACCTCAACTGGCTCCTTTCGATCCGGAGGAGCAGCGGTTCTACTCCGAGTCCCTCCCGAATGTCCGAGCTCCTCACCCTATCTCTAAGGCTGAGCCCGGCCACCCTACGGAGGAAACTCATTTCGGCCGCTTGTATCCGCGATCTCGTTCTTTCGGTCATTACCCAAAGCTCATGACCATAGGTGAGGATTGGGACGTAGATCGACCGGTAAATCGAGAGCCTGGCTTTCTGGCTCAGCTCCCTCTTCCCCACGACAGATCGGCTCAGCGTCCGCATCACTGCAGACGCCGAACCAATCCGCCTGTCGATCTCCCGATCCCTCCTACCCTCACTCGTGAACAAGACCCCGAGATACTTAAACTCCTCCACTTGAGGTAGGACCTCTCCCCCGACCCGGAGGTGGCAAGCCACCCTTTTCCGGTCGAGAACCATGGTCTCAGATTTGGAGGTGCTGATCCTCATCCCAGCCGCTTCACATTCGGCCGCGAACCTACCCAGCAAGAGCTGAAGGTCAGAGCTGGATGAAGCTAGGAGGACCACATCATCCGCAAAAAGCAGAGACGAGATTCTCCTGCCACCAAACTCGACACACTCCACACCACGGCTGCGTCTAGAAATTCTGTCCATAAAAGTGATGAACAGAACCGGTGACAAAGGGCAGCCCTGGCGGAGTCCAACCCTCACTGGGAACAGGTCCGACTTACTACCGGCTATGCGGACCAAACTCACGCTCCTCTGGTAAAGGGACTGAATGGCCCTTAACAGAAAGCCACCCACCCCATACTCCTGGAGCGTCCCCCACAGGGTGCCCCTGGGGACACGGTCATAAGCCTTCTCCAAATCCACAAAGCACATGTGGATTGGTTGGGCAAACTCCCATGCCCCCTCCATCACCCTTGCAAGGGTATAGAGCTGGTCCACAGTTCCACGGCCAGGACGAAAACCACATTGCTCTTCCTCTATCTGAGATTCAACTATCGATCGGACCCTCCTCTCCAGTACCTTGGCGTAGACCTTTCCAGGGAGGCTGAGGAGTGTGATCCCCCTATAGTTGGAACACACCCTCAGGTCACCCTTCTTAAAGATGGGGACCACCACCCCGGTCTGCCACTCCCTAGGAACTGCCCCCGATGACCACGCAATGTTGTAGAGACGTGTCAACCATGACAGCCCTACAACATCCATAGCCTTGAGATACCCAGGACGAACCTCATCCGCCCCCGGGGCTCCGCCACTGTGTAGTTGTTTGACTACCTCAGCAACTTCTGCCCCCGAGATCGGACAGTCCATCCCCAGGCCTCCCAGCTCTGGTTCCTCCTCGGAATGCGCATTGGTGGGATTGAGGAGCTCCTCAAAGTATTCCTTCCACCGTCCGACTATAGCCTCAGTTGACGTCAGCAGCTCCCCATCCCCACTGTAAACAGTGTGAGCGAGTTGCTGCCTTCCTCTCCTGAGGCGCCGGACAGTTTGCCAGAACCTCTTTGGAGCCGATTGATAGTCTTTCTCCATGGCCTCACCAAACTCCTCCCACGCCCGAGATTTTGCCTCGGCAACTGCCACTGCTGCACCCCGCTTGGCTCCTCCTTGAACCGTCACCTTATCGTGGTGGAGGAGTTTGAGTGCCCTAATGATCCTAGGAGCTATGTTGTCTGGGGCACTTAGTGCCCCTGGTAGGGTCTCCCATGACAAATTGGTCTTAGGTGAAGGGTGAGACAAAGAACGGTTCGAAGGATCTTTCATGGCGGTTAAAACGAAGAGTCGGAGTACCCGGCCCGGAGGGTTACCGGGGTCCCACCCTGGAGCCAGGCCTGGGGTTGGGGCCCATGAGCGAGTGCCTGGTGGCCGGGCTTTCGCCCATGGGGCCCGGCCGGGCCCAGCCCGAACCGGATACATGGGCTCGTCCAACTGTGGACCCACCACCCGCAGGAGGAACATGAGGGGTCCGGTGCAATGCGAATCGGGTGGCAGACCAAGGCGGGAGCCTTGGCGGTCCAATCCCCGGACAAGAAAACTAGTTTTTGGGTGTATTTTTGTAAAACAAAATACCCACTATAAGGGCTTCAACTAGTATTTTAGTCTATAAAATTTAACCAGCAATTTGCTGTTTAGTTGAACATTTTTTAGAGCCTTTATTATGCAGGTATTATTCAGAAACATAAATTTACATTTAATTTCTGCAGC